GGATTTGAACCCGCCACCTTAGGTGTATGTGGCTGGCGCCTTAGCCACTTGAGCCACAGGCACCAAGCCAATTGGTTTAAATTCTAACTCCTCTACTTACTGGGTGACTTTAGGCAAGTCATATATACTATCACTACCTCAACTGCCAATCAGTAAAATGGAGATGATAATTATCTCAGTGGCTAAGATGATGAAATGAGTGACTCTGCATAAGGATCCACATAAAGCACGTATGGTTTCTTATACAGGTTAAGACTTGTACATGTTAGTGTTACTCACCACACCTCACAAAAGCTTTCATCATGCAACCCCTGTTCACTCTGCAGCCTCATTATTTCCATTTCCCCCTCCCACGCTGAACTCTTCCTCTGCCTGTCAAACACCCACTGCAACCTACTGCTCTCTCCTCTATATTCCTTTTCTGGCCCAGACATAGACCCTAGTCCTCTAAGCTGCATCTGTGTAGCCCCAACCTGCCTCCCCAGGGCTCTGAGCTCCCTGCAGGTATGGACTAAATCTGTTTGGTTCAGAGTTGGATCCTAGAGCTCAGCACTGGCAACTGGATATGGAATCCCAGGGAAAGAGAATGAAGGGAAGAGACTGTGTATCTGGAGAGGTGGGAGTTTCTACCTCTTGGAGAAGCTCTTCCAGGTGGGAAAAGGTAGGCCGGTCAGCAGGATGGAGGGCCCAGCAGCGCAAGGCGAGTGCGTAGAGGGCCCTGGAGCAGAGGGGAGGCCTAGGTAGCCGGGCTCGGTCCTTCTCCAGCCTCTGCAGGATGAGATATGGCGGGACCCCAGCCCAGGGCTCCTCGCCCCTGGAGAACATCTCCCACAGCGTCACCCCAAACATCCATACATCTGAAGCAGACGAGAAGGCTCCCTGGCGCAAGCTCTCTGGTGCACACCTGCCAGAAAGAAATGGAACTGAGCTCACCTTCCACTGAACACCCCTGCCTTGTGCTCCCATAGTCTCCAGAGGTCCTCCTATCTAACAATGACAACTCTTCTTATCCCACCCTCATTCAGAAGACCAGCCCTGGAGCTCCCCTTAGCTGCTGCCCTCTAGACCGACCTCTGCCCCAGCGATCCCACAGCATGCCCTCACCAAGCATAGGGGATGGGCCGGGGCCCACCCATGATGTAGCGGCCCTGGGCACCGCTCAGCGGCCGCACCAGCCCAAAATCTGCCACTTTGATCCTGCAGGGTGAAGCCAGCAATAGGTTGCGTGTTGCAAGGTCTCGGTGCACTAACCCACGGGCTCCCAAGTATGCCATGGCCCCCGCCAACTGCCGCAGGAAGAGGCAGAGCAGGGCTACCGGCAGTGGGGGTGTAGGGGCTGGGGCCATCAGGCGCACATGCAGGGAGCCCAGCGGAGCCAGCTCCATCACCTGTAGGAGCACAGGCCTGGTGAGCAGCAGCCCTCCTCACAGGACTCTGGCTGCCCACCCTCCTGCTGCACACCACCCCTGGGGCTGTGTAGGGGAACCAGCGTGTGGATCTGCTCACCATCTGCAGAGGCTGGCCCAATACAAGGCCATGCAGTTGCAGCACATGTGGGTGCTCCAGGTTCATCATGACTGACACCTCTCTAAGAAAGTCCCCCAGCTCTGTGCCAACAGGGCCTTCGGGACCTACCCTGAGGGACTTGACAGCCACTGGGACCTGGAGGTAGGGGAACACCATCAGGTATCCTGTGGAACCACCATGCCAGGGCCAGAGCAGAGAGGGCATGAAAAGAGAGTGGGCAGCTATGATCCCCACACACTCACACTCTGGCCACTGGGCAGGGTCCACAGCCCCCGGTGCACCACACCAAAGCAACCTGAGCCCAGCAGTTCCCCCCTGCACACAGCACCCTCTGGAATCAGACACTTGAGTCCCCCCTCTGGCTCATGGAGGCGCAGTGGGCTGTCTGAGGGCAGGGTAGGCTCCTTCTGCTCTTGGGCAAAACCTCCGAGGATCTGAAACGGAGGTGGGAAATCAGGTGTGCAGAACCCCCAAGCCTCTTCCTGTGACTCAGCCCACCTCATTCCCAGGCTGAAGCTGCCTCCAACCCCCTCCCCCCCACAACACACACCTTGTAGACCCAGTTCTTAGACTTGAGCCCTGAACGGTGCTTCTTCAGAGCTTCAGCCAGTCTGCGCTGGGCTGGGGGAGGCCAGAATCAGAGGGCTGGGATGGAGGGGGTGGTGCAGGGCATAGAGAGATTTACAGGCAAGAACAGGGGTGGGGAGAGGCAGGCAATGATAGGCTGGGGAAGGACAGACTAGGGTCTTGGGGCAGGGGTCCCTCACCAGGCCGGCCCATGCCAATTCCATCCAGGTCCTCAGGCCTTACAAAGTCGAAATGCTCTGGCCGAGAGACATTAAGCTCCTCAAGGATGGGCCGGTAAAATTGGGCCAGCTGGATGTCCCGGAGCAGCCTCAGCAGCCACAGGGAGCCCACCTCAGGGAGCATATCTGAGAGAAGGAATCCTAATGATGATGGCATTCCCCTTCAGATATGTAGCCCAGGGTAGGCACCTCAGAAACTCAGGCACCAGAGACAAGGTCTCCAGTTCCATCCATAAGTCTCCACAAGTACGGAGAGAAGGACATATCAGATAGC